AACCTCCCTGGAGGTAACTCTTGTCTTTGACATTGAAAGGTGTCCAGATTTCCTGTTCGTCTTTATTTCGATGAAAGGGAGGATGTGTCCTTCTCTGAACGTGAAAACATGGAGCTGCCCTACAAAAACTAATAACCCAAGGAACAGAGGCTCTGTGTGATCTGAGGATTTTTGAGGCTTAACCCGAGAACAAGGCTGCCAGTTTTGTAAAGCAATTCATTAAGAACCTTGGCTAAACTGCAGTGTTAAAACCATTTAAAAATAGCATAATTTCACTGCATTTGTGCCACACTGCATTCTGTACATCCCCAATGTGATAGCTGCACACAGAAAAATCCAGTAATTGCAACATACACTGGGATTATTTAGAATAAGATTAAATTATCTAGGGTTCAGAAATAGATGTCTACTTTTAAAGGAGTTATGTTGAAAGGACATAAAAGGGGCCAGTTGTGTATTCAGGTATTTATTTTGTCTTCATTTTTTTAAACTGCTTCTTTAATAACAAGAGTTTAAATGGCTCCCTCTTGTGTTAAGAAAAACACAGTATTCTGTTTGGCAAAAAATAGTCCTTGAACAGAAATTACAATTTACCTATATTTATAGGGAGCAGTCTAGTTATCAGTATGTTGTGGTGACTGATGAGGAGACTTGCTGCTCAGGTACTCTTTGAAACTACCTAAAAGAAGTACCTAAGCATGACTTAAATAGTTACCTTTCAGCTGCATATGCTGAAGGGTAGGGGAAAATAGCTTGTGATTCATATGTATTGCACCCCATCTAATTTGCTAATGCAGACTAGACTATATCGTGTCTCAGTCCTTGTCCTTAGGTATAAAGCTCTGTAACATCTCAGCACAGAATATCTGGATTAGCATAGCTTAATTTACCTCTGGTGTTTTTCACAGGTGAGCAAATCTTCACGTTGCAAGGGGTGGGAGGAAAGTAATGAACTGGAGGAAAGCTCTGAGCGTAAACGAGTCAGTGAATGGCAGTGAGGAAGCACAAATTGGATTTCAACAACCAGTTTTCAATAAATTTCAAGTCTTCTTTCCTTCTTTCTATTACTTATTAGCTGATGAAGTGTTCACTTAAGCTTTTAACTCTTGAAAGCTTTCTTCAAATAATTAATACCTATAAAACTCTGAAATTAAGCAAAGTCTGCTGAGACTTTGTCATAGCATGCGGCATACTTTGGTAACTTTGGATATTAAGCAATAATCTTGGAAATTAACATAGAAGAGGAAAAATCCTCACAGGACACACTAGGGTCTTGGTGACCTTAAGAGACAAATTAAATGTATGAGGAAACACATGTGTGCATACACAGGAAGTATCTACCATAGCTTTTGAGACAGCAGGTCTGAAAAGCTTTGTTTCAAGACAACAGATGTCAGTTCTGTGATTTCTCACAAAATCTGTTCCTGCATAGTTATGAATTAAAAAAAAAAAAAAAAAAAACAAAACAAAAACAAAAAACAAAAAAAAAAAAAAAAAAAAAAAAAAAAAAAGAAACAAACCCCTCCCAAACCAACCAAAACCAAACTAGGCTCACTTCGGAGTGGCATTAATCATACTGATGACTTTAGAGCTTGATAAAGCTACTTTGCAGATAATTCTCTTGGGATAATCTCAGTTCATCCTGTTTCAGAAGTCTGGTGGTACAGACACAGGAGTCTGTTTAGTAGTTTGAAGGTGAGGGCTTTAAAATACCATACTGTAAACTCTGCTGAAGTAGTTTATCCTTTATAAAAAGATTTCCCTGTTGCAGCCTTACAGGTTGTTAACAGAATGAATGACAGTATGACTACAAATATCAAATTATATGCTTTTAAAATCTATGACTTTGAGAAGTAAGAAAAAATTATTTGGAGAAAGATACAGAGGGAGTTACCACTTGCTCACAGAGAGGAAAAAAATTACTATGGTGCACAGAAGAATCATTCAGTATCTTAGTTTCTTGTTTAAGAGCTTGTACAGTGGCACCCCACAATCTATTTCCACACTTCAGAGAAGAACTGGTGAGGGTAGACTTAACTGAAAAGTAACTGAAAGGATTTATCAAATCTAAAGTGTGTACTTAAGCTCAAAAACTGCTGTTTTGAAAAGACCTGACCAGCTGCCACCTGGTTAAGATACACTTAAACTCAAAAATACTCCTTTTAGCTATCCAACCAAGCAAAGTTAGTTTTCTGAATTTAACCACCATCATGATCTCAATGGATCCAAGCCAGCTGCCCCATATTTCAAGTCTGACAGGACAGGGTGAGGCAACTGGGCATTTCATTACCTATTTCTCTTGAGGTACTCATTCCAAAATTGTTTGGAAGGTACCTATTAAAGGATTTTGAGTTGCATATAAAAATATTTTTATCTTACATATGGCCAAACACTTCTACTCAACCAATAGTCTAGTGACTGGGGTACCTGCCAGGGAAAGTATGGGAGACTGAGTTTCTCAGATGAAGAGCATTTAGTACCTTCCCTCCTGGCATTTGAGACCTAATTTTTTTAATCAGTTTGCATTTCTTCCAGCATAGCTTTGCCTTGTGAGTTATTGGCATACCTAAAATGGGGCCACTACAAGTTTATTTCATGCTTACATTACTTTTGTTTCAATGCTATTATGCAAAATACTCTAAGAGGCAATAGTCAACCTCTTTAAAGGCAGAAAACTTTGAAAAGGTTTTGCTTTCTTCTTGACTCAAAATAAAGGGTCATGTTGACCTTATTTATTTGCTTTGTAGCAGAAAACTAATGTGGCAGGAATACCCACTTGAGACACCAGGCTAAGTCATGAGGCATGCTTGGGTTATCCTTCTCATGTAATTTTTGCATTCACCTTAGTAAAAGTGTTAATTGTGGAACTCCAAATGATTATGTGCAGGGCTCCTTTCAGTAAACACTGAGAGGAGAACATGAGGGCATCATAAGCACCTGCAAAGCTATAGGTTTGGAGGTGAGGATAATTAATCCTTGTAATAGGAAAAAAGGTTATCCTGAAATAGTAATGGGCAACAGAACTTAGCATTTGTTAGCTTTAATACTGAAATGAGACACATTGGGGCCTTTGGTGCCATTGAATCTATTTGCGGCACGAAGTTGGAATTTGGGTAAGCTAAGGTAGGGCACGTAACAGATACTTGGGATAGGGGTGGAGTACGTAGGCTTTTGTTCTAAAGTCACTGCAGACACTCTTCACCAAGCTACTGAAGAAAATATCATTCCTTTGGGTGCCATTTTGTCCAGCCTCCACTACAGCTAAGGTTTTGTACACTAGAAAGTAGGGAGTGAGACTAAAATTAGAAAGCATTTTTCAAAGAAACCTCAGGCCAGTACTCTTGACACTTTTCAGAAAGAAAATTAGGTTTGTGGTTTCTTAGTAAGCTTTTGTACCTCATTTCTGCTTAACCTCAGGTGATGACAGTAACCCAACCCTTAAACAAGGCTTGGATTTGAAATTTAATGTTCCTTCCTTGTGTGTGCAGGATTTTGGTAAGCAAACAATAGGTATGCTGATTTAAACAACAATTTTTCCATCAGAGAGAGGAGATTTTGGCAGTGGTTGTTCTGCATCTCCATGACAGCAAACCTCACTGTTTTACATGCAGGTAATACCACCATCAGTCAGGATCAACTTTCCTGGCTTGTGTGTAACTCTTCATAGTGAATGCTGTAGCCTGATTTAACATAATCCAGCTTTTGTGTTAGTCTCTTGGCTGTCAGGTGGTTGAAAGGCACCACAGTTTATTCCTAGACCCAAGCTAACAATCTACACCGCAGCAAATACTTACAACTTTAATGGACTGAAAGATAAAAAAAAATCCCATTCTATTTATGCCATACATGATCTTTCTTTCTGGCAGACAGTACGAGTTCAGCAATTCCTCTAGCTTAACTACATTATGTTTCTTTAAATAAACCCACTGTGATCTCGCTTACTGAAACAAAGAAGTGAAGGTTTATGTATAACCAGTTTCCCTCTGATACCTCCTGTACCACTGGTTTTCTAGGCCTCTTCCTATGCAAGGCATTTTAGCAATGTAAGTAGGTGTTGCATAATATGATTATGTGCTGCTCTGAACTGAGGAACGTGTCCCACTTGTGGCATATTACACACTGCTGCCTGCTTCTTCCATTGGAAGAGAAATTATGTGATAGTGATTTTATATTCCTGGCAGCAGTCAAATGCTACAGCAGAGGATTAGGGGACTGGGGCTTTATTTTTTTCTCTGTGTACTGAAAACCAGTATCGCGTTCCCCCACCCCCCTTATGCCTTTAGCTCTGAAGGGAACGATTACATTTCAGTTAATCTCTTTTCCTCTGTGTCATTCCAATAGACCACCCTAACTCGCAGTACAGGAATTAGCGCGTGTGTGTAATTAGGACTTAATATAATCGGCCTCTGCATACAGGCAGTGTAGGTACCGCTGAGGGAACGCGGCGGTGAGCTCACGCCTTGTCTCCAGCACCAGCCGTGTTCGCCATCCAGGGCTAACTGCGTTCCTCCTCTTCCGCCCGCGCCCGCCACAGCGACGCCGCAGTGCCCAGGTGTCAGGCACATCCCCATGGAGCCATCCCCCCTCCCTGTCTCCGCCGCGACGCGCTGCTCGCGCAGCTGCCGTCGGATGCGCAAGCCGGAGCCGCGCTCCAGGGCGGCCGCGCGTGGATGCGGCGCGCGGAGCGCATGGCAGAAGGCGGAACGGAGGCCGCGCGGCGGCAGGAGCCGCGGTGAGAGCAACAGTGGGGGGGACTGCGCACGCGGGACACCCTGGAAGGCGCGGCGCAGCTACGAGAGCACGTAGCCGCGGGCGCAGGCCTGGATCGGCGCGGGTGCCCTGTCGCAGCGTCGGTCCCCGGCTCCGGCTCCTCGCTCTGTCTGCTCCGTCGCTGTGAGAAAGCCCAGGGCCCTCGTTCTCTGCGCTGCGGCTCCTCCCCCCTTCCTCGGACCCGCCCGATGAGTGCGCTGTGCCCCGGCAGCCCGCATCATCCCGGCGGGATGCGCTGTACGGGGCACTCGGTGTCGCTGGATACCTGCGGCGGCCCATTTCGGAGAGGAAGTGTCCTCGCGTTGGCCTTTCCTAAAACAGGAAAGACACCTTGCTGCGTTTTTTTTTTTTTTTTTTTTTTTTTTTATTTTTATTTCAAGTAGGGGGTAGTTGAGGCTACTGCTCTAGTGGAGCGTATGCTCAGTATGGATCATTTCCTAGTCTGCTTCGGTTTATGTTACATCATTTTTAACAGCAACTTCAGCTTTAAGCTACTTTTAAAACGCTGCACTGTAAACTGCACTACTCCTGATGGTGAATAACACAGTAGTTCAGGCAGTAGAGACTAGAGGACTTTTGTTGTGTCATTTAACCAGACGTGACAAAATAATATCCCTACTTTCAACTATCTGTAAACATCTAAATTTATTAGATAGAGGCTGTGGTGGGATTGGAAATTGTCATTTTAAAATAATTTAGAACTTAGATTAAATTTTGGGGTTGCTTAATTAACTAATGGAAGTGCTCCTGTTGGTTATATCAACCCATTAACATAAAAGTAGCAGTTTGCTACTTCATACATGTTTAGCACATATCAGACTGCACTTCTAATGGATTCTGTCCAAAATAGGTGTTCTAATCTGTATATATGCTGCTTTAACTAACAAACATGCCCTAGTGGTCCTAATCATTGTTCCTCCATGAATATAAAACTTTGTAAAATCCTTTGGTGGAGCTGACAGAAAGCAGCTAAATTAACTGTGACCTTTCTTTTTTCATCTACAGAGCGAAAAAAATGGAGCTGTCAAGAAGAGAAGATCAAATCAGGCAGATATTCCTGACAGTCTTTGTCAAGAAGCCGAGACATGTTATCGGCTTAGACTGCCTGAGGACTTCTACCAGTTTTGGAAGTTTTGTGAGGAGCTAGATCCTGAGAAACCAAGTGGTGAGATTTTAAATTTTGCCCTTTCTAACTTTCACTCTCAAAAACAGCCTGAAAGCAGGCAAAGTGGAGGTGGTCAGATGCATTCTAATGCAGCTTCAATTTGTGGTTAAGATGCAGGATATTTGTGTGAGTGTAAACAGGAATCCTGGATATAATCAGATGTATACTTCAAGCTTTCTAAAATATGATTACTTAAATCGTGCAATACAGAGGGACTAAATGTTGTCTAAATCTGTCTTTCTTGCAGGTACATTTAAAATGTTTGATATGGAACTCAAGTTTCCTAGATATACTGTGGTTTAACCCTAACCAACAACTGAGCACTGTTCAGCCACTCACTCCCCCTTAGTAAGACAGGGAGAGAATCAGAAGGGTAAAAGTGAGAAAATGTGTGGGTTGAGCTAAAGACAGTTTAATAGGAAAAGCAAAGGCCACATGCAGAAGCAAAATAAAACAAGGAATTCATTCACCACTTCCCATGGCCAGGCAGGCGTTCAGCCAACTCCAAGAAAGCACAGCTCTGTCACACGTAGCAGTTACTTGGGAAGGCAAATACCATCACTCCAAATGACACTCCGTCTTCCCCTAGTTTATATACTGAACATGATGCCATATGGTATGGAATATCCCTTTGGCCACTTAGGGTCATCTGTCCTGGCTGTGTCCCCTTTCAGCTTCTTGTACATCCACAGCTTTGCCACTGGTGGGGTGAGAGGCAGAAAAGGCTTTAACTCAGTGTAAGCACTGCTAAATCTGGGTTTCAACCTCCTCAAATTTATTATATAACAGAATGTGCCATCCCTGTGTGCTCTAGAAATGACAAGTTTTTTTAGAGTTATAGAACGATTTGGGCTGGAAGGGACTATTAAAGTTCATCTAGTCTAATCCCCTAAAATAACCAGAGACATCTTCAACTAGACCAGGTTGCTTAGAGCTCTATCCAACCTGTCCTTGAATGTGTCCAAGCATGGGGCATCCACTACCTTTCTGGGCAACTTGTTCCAGTGTTTCACCACCCTCATCTTAAGGAATTTTTTCCTTATATCTAGTCTGAATCTACCCTTTTATAGTTTAAAACCATTACCCCTCATTCTATTGCTACAGACCCTGCTAAAAAATCTGTTACTATCTTCAGTACCTAAAATATTTAAAGGCTGCAGTCTCCTTGGAGCCTTTTCTTCTCCAGGCTAACAACCCAGACCTCTCAGTCTGTCTTCACAGGAGAGATGCCCCAGCCCTGTGATCATCTTCATGAACGTCCTCTGGACCCCTTTCAACAGGGCCAGGTCTTTTCTGTACTGGGGCCCCCCAGAGCTGGATGCAGCACTCCAGGTGGGGTCTCACCAAAGCAGAGGAGCAGAATCCCCTCCCTTGACCTGCTGGCCACGCTGCTTTTGATGCAGCCCAGGATACAACTGGCTTTCTGGGCTGCAGCTGCATATTGTCACCTCATGTTCAGCCTCTGACCCACCAGCACCCCCAAGTCCTCGGGAAGGCTGCTCTCAATTTGTTCATCCCCAGGCTTGTGTTGATACCAGGGCTTGCCCTGACCCAGGTTCAGCACCTTGCACCTTGTTAAAATACATGAGATTCCCATGGGCCCACTTCTCTATCATATCCGGGTCCCTCTGGATGGCATCCCACCTTCGGGTGTGTCAACTGTAGCACTGAGCTTGGCATCATCAGCTAATTTGTTGAGGGTGCACGTGATCCCACTGTCTTGTGTAATTGATAAAGATTAATACTAAATAGTACTGGTCCCAGTACAAACCCCTGAGGAACACCACTCATCACTGATCTCCATCCAGACATTGAACTGTTGATGGCTACTTCTTATGAGAAGTGTAATAACTCTCAAAGCTATCTGGACAAAAGAATGTCTCAGCTCTCCTTGTCTAGTAAACAGTGTTTGATGGAATTTGTGGAAGCTTTTGATACCTGAGTGACACAGGAACTGCATCTAGATATGCACCCACCAGAATGTAAATCAATTCATGCTTTGCTTTTCAGATGCACTTGTGTCAAGTGTTGGACTTAAACTGGTTGGACCATATGATATTCTTGCTGGAAAACACAAAAAACCAAAATCAACAGATGTGAACTTCAACCTTCATTGGAGATTCTTCTATGATCCCCCAGAATTCCAGACGATACTTGTTGGGGATAGCAAAACACAGTATCACATGGGATATTTCAGGTATTTAATTTCCTGTATGCTCTTGCTGGACCATAATTATGCATTTTTTTGTCCTATTTTCTCCATGAGACATGATTTGAGACTTGCACACAATCATCAAACAAGAATCTTTCTCTTCTGTAATAGGATATTAATACATGGCTTGATTATCTTTTTATTAAAAAAGATCACAGGTACTGGAGTTGGAGACGATTTAAATATTTATTAAACTACCTCCCCCAGCCATCCAAAGCACCTTCACTTACTAATGTTTAACTTTTGCCATGATACTTGGAAGAAAAAGTCAAATGAATTAAAGGGAACAGGTATTCTCTTTGCATGTACAGATGCAAAGGCATGCTCTAAGATCTTAGAGCTTTAGATCTAAGGGCATTTCTTGATAGGTCTGAAGGAGATGGCAGCATAGTGAGGAAGCAAATTAATTTTGCTTTGAAATAAGAGAAATGGACACACCTTGACTATTTGTGTGTACTTTTTCCTCAATAGGGATGTGCCAGATGAGCTCCCAGTGTGGGTTGGTGCAAATGAAGCTAAGAAGGGCTGTGTGATTTCACAAGTTGGTGATAATGTCTTTGCAGCAGTCAAGTAAGGTTCATACTTACTTATAAAAAATAGAGTAGAAACTGTTAATTGTGAGGTGTGGAATAACGCAGCTGACTTATTTACGTGTCTTTCTCAAGAAATTCGTGCTTATTTTCTGCCACTGCTAGCAAGTCTTAAGGTTCTCTCCAAAGCCTTTATAGGTTTTTTGACAGTGTTTTCCTTTCAGAAGTAAAATAGATAATCGTTAGTTATCTCATTCTTTAAATATGTTGGCAGGGATAGGCTCTACAGGGGAAAAAGTATCCACTGGGTGTTAAATACTTGGTTAAAATACTTGGTAAGTAAAGGGTGGGCATCTCAAACAGTGGTGAAGGAAATCGGAGTATCGCAGTAGCATCTGGCTCTTGTTCTTGCCTATGTAAAAATACTTTTCTTTTGTATATAATGAATAAATACAAGAAGTGCCATTTCTGACCTTGGGGCAGGATAACATTTATATGGATATGTAACTCAAGATGATTCATGAAGCTTTACGTGATTCCATGTCAGGAATGTAAACAACAGATCTCATCCCTGCCGGTTAAAAATGGAAAGCTTTTTAAGGACAGACATGTGTCAGTCAGTGGAAGCAGGCTGAATAGTGGCTTCTGCAAAAGAATCCTTGTACAGTGCAGAGTTAAACGAGGACATTTGTTTTGAAAGCACCATGAGGAAACTCATAAATATGTATTTGTGTGCATGACTTGGATGACAAATGGTGTATATGGCGCGAAAGCAGCAAACTGAATTCTTAAGATAGAAAGATGAACAGCTACTGAGTTCAGGAGAATCTTCAGCACCTGCTGATTGCATAAACTAGATGGTAATGCAGATACAGATAAGAAATGCCCAAGTACTGTCTGTGCCAAACTTTTCTTTCTTGTTAAACGAGGCTTGCATTTCCAAGTCTTTGTATAAATAAACTCAGGACTGCTAGTCTTCATTATAAGAACTGGAAGTTTAGTGTTTAAAAGGCTACGGATTTGTTTGTTTATTTTCTGTTAAGGCATGTTTTTTCTGTTTGCAGATTATTTTTGTCAAAAAAACTCAAGGAAGTGACTGATAAAAAGAAAAGTGCTGTTTTGAGAGACCTAGATGAAAAGCTAACAAGGACAGCAAAAGATCTGGGTTATTCTCTGGAACAAAAAACCATGAAGATGAAACAGAGAGATAAGAAAGTATGACTTTCCTCATCCACTGGAGAGAACTAAGTTCTGTTAAACTTTTTTCATTTCCCTTCCTGTTTGTTTTTTTTTTTTTTCATCCTTCTAGTTAGTAAGGATGCTTCATTTAAGAATTTTGAGAGCCAATCATCTCTCTCTAAAACTTCAGGAGAGGGAAAATCAATACAAGTGTGTTCCAAATAATAGGACTAAATAAAAACACATTATGCTTGTGAAACAAAATTCAATTCAAAAACAAACAAACAAAAGGAACAAACCACCACCAAAAAAACCACAATAAGGGCAGTAGTCTAAAAAATAAAACAAATGGAGGGCATGGAGACAACTGGTTGAAATGGAAGATTAAAACAGTTGGGTTGGATCTGTTAGAAACAGGACCATGGGTAGTAATAGTATGGGTAGTAATAGTTTTGCATACCTATCAGAAATAATTATAGTAGGAGGTGACTAAACAAATGAGGTGCTACCCAAGAGACTACAAGGGTTCCTAGACTTCAGAGCTTGACTGGAGTTTCCAGTTATTTTAAACTTCAGCACTCGAAAGTAATTGCAATATTGTTTGAAACTGAGTTGATGTCCTGGAGCCAGGACACTATATTAGGTTTGACCACCAGCAGACAGATATTAGTGTTTAATGAGGTGAGTGGTTTTATGTCACAGTACTGTCTTATGGTGCTATGTTCTATTTCCTGTCCCTTTATTTAGGTGGTGACCAAAGCATTTCATGGAGCAGGTCTAGTTGTTCCTGTAGACAAAAATGATGTTGGATACAGAGAACTTCCTGAAACAAATGGTAAATATCTTGTTTACGATATTCTTCCGCTTTATTTAAACAACCTTCAGTCACACAGACTCTGCAAAAAACAAACTGCATTCATATTTTCTACGTAGAGTAAGTGGTAGGAGTAAAAGGTAGAAGTCTTAACCGTCACACTTGAGCTCAAAGTATTGTCTTTAGATGAACCAAATGAAAATCAATGAAACATGTTAAATCTGAAATAATAATTCCTGAAGTAGTAGTTTAGATGATCTTTTGTATTGGCACAGCCATGCAGGAAGTAGATCCAAAAAACTGATCTATATTCAGGGATTTGTGGCTTTATTTCTTATCCATCCTCTTCTCCCACTGTTGTTTTAACCAGAATCAGTTCCTTGATGGAAGTTCACCACACAAATGCTTGTCTCTCTCTATGGGGGAACTCAGAGGGATGGGCAGGGGGCAAGAATGAGCAGCCAAGGAAAGGGGTAAGCTTTTTCTCCAGCAGTTCAGGGTGTGCCCACTTAGTTGACACACAGGTATGGTTTTGCCATAGACTATTCTGTGCAATATTAAATTTATTTATTTAAACATCTGGATATTTGACTTTGTTTTTTTTGCAGCTAATCTTAAAAAAATTTGCAAGGCTATTGTTGATGCTCCTACTGATGATGAGAGAGTGAAGGCTTTTGCACCCATTCAAGAAATGCTGACCTTTGTTCAGTTTGCTAATGATGAATGTGACTATGGAATGGGGTACGAACTGGGTATGGACCTCTTTTGCTATGGATCACATGTGAGTACTACAGCAATCATACTTCACAAAGTTATGCATTATTTTATATGTGGACCAGGAATTGTTCTGTGTTGTAGAATAATTATCCCTAGAAATCATAAAGGTCTACAAGAATATTGTTAATTCATGAAGACTGTTAGAAAGTCACACTTAAGGACATTATTCCGTGTTGAATTTAAAATTGTGCGTAGGAAAGCCCAATCCTGCAATCCAGAAGTGGAGTGCAGAATGTCTGATCTAAATATACTGAATAGTTGGAGCCCCCTGTCCCCAACTGCAGGCACAGGCACCCAAATTCAACTGGATCAAGAAATGGACTGTAGTAACCCTAGCTGGAAAAATGTGACTCCAGGTCAGCTGTCTGGCTGCACTGCCTCTGGCTGTGTAGGGAACCTCCCACCTGAGGTCTCTTCCCTGTTTCTGTGTTAACAGTGAATATCATCAATAAGTTGATTCACTTAATAGCACTTAATTATACATAAAGATTCTGCTTAGCGCTTTTTGTTCTGTATTTTATTTTAGTTCTGTATTAAAACATTCACCTTGTTGATGAAAAGGTTCATATCTGTAATCAGTCTGTGGCTAGAAAATAACACAAAGAAGTTAAACATCAACCTAATATGAATGGATCTATACAAAATAGCTTCTTCTAGCAAAACCAGTATCAGTACTCCAGAGTATCATGTGAAAGATTTTTATCTTTCAATACTAAATGTAGGCACAGAAGAGCTGTGCTGAACTTTTGTTAAAATGTTTAGTAATTGGAATGAAGGAAAACTTGCTGCTCTTACCATGCACTTTTAAATTACTTATGTGTTTCTTAGATTTCCTGTCCTGCTCTCTTAAGTTCTGTACAGCATCTGAAAATGTGTGGTATTTTCCTCTGATATCCTGCTCATTTAGGGTCCTTTGTTCAGTGACTGGGCTGCTTCAGGTGCTTAAATCTTGTCTGCAACTGGAAGGGCAGTGAAGGAAACAGTTTCTCCCTGTTGGCTGAGTAGGTGAAGGCAAACACCCGGCTTTAGCGCTATGAGCTTCTTGATACACGAGAGACTAAACCCTGACAAAGTCCTGCAACAACAAATTACACCTTTACAGCAGTATCATGTGTCTTCTGTCTATCTTAGGCAGCAGTTTGAAATGGCTGTAACTTTGCAGCTGTTTTCTAAAAATAGAAACGTTCATTTTCTTGTTTAGTAAACAGAAAGGAAAAAACAGCAGCTTCACACTTAAGTTACTTGGTGGTTTGGTCCCTGCCTGCTTTAGAGCTCATACTGGGAGCTGCTTTCTGGTTCTGACTGGAGCCTGCCTGTCCCCTTGCTTACAGAGCCAGAGAAACACTGACACTTTATCTGTAGCCCAGAACAGGGAAAGGGACTTAAATCTTGTCGCTCTCATATAAGAGCTATAATCGGCTTACCTGTGCAATAATCATTGCAAATGCTAAATACAGTCTGACGGTTTTTGCATTTGAAGCGCTTAAATGGTTACTACAGGTACCATTGTAATCCCCTAGAGCTGTGGAGTGTGACAAGACATGGGACTGTGACAGGACACAGGACTTCAGCCGCAGGCTGGAGCTCTTCATACTGTAATGGCACCGTCATTTCCTGCACCGCTAAAAATAGTTTTCCAGCTCAGGTACCCCGCCTGAGCGTGCTGTGACTGTGACAGGTGTAGCATGAGGACGTGCTCAGCCACTTTGGGAGTGGGTGAAGAGAGTGGTGCCCCGGGATAAACAAAACCTTGTTTTCCCTGTCTCCTGCAGTACTTCCACAAGACGGTGGGCCAGCTGCTGCCCCTGGCTTACTCCCTGCTGAAGAGGAACCTCTTTGCCGAGATCATCGAGTCGCACTTGGGCAGCCGGCGGGAGGAGGGCCTGGACCAGCTGGAGCCCTGAGCCGGGCACCGGGGCTACGGCGGGGTGGGCAGCCTTGTCTGTCTCTGTGTGTGTGTGGGCTTTTTGTACTCAGTGGCGGTGTCTGGGGTCAGTAAAGCTTTTCTAAGGAACGCGCTGTTTTTCCGGTTTGGCTGCGGCGCGCGGGACAGGCCGGGCCCGGAGGGGAGGGGGTCACGGCCGCCGGGCGGGGCTGTGGCGGCGGAGGGCTCGGGCGGTGCTGCGGGCCCGGACGCATCCGCGCCGGCCCGGGCTGCGCCCCCGCCCCGGGCTGCGGGCAAGGCCGGGCCAGCCGGCGTGGCGTGAGGGAGAGTGGGAGGGGCGGGCTGCGGCCTCACACCGCTCGGAGCGCCTGCAGGAACCGGCCAGGGGACTCATGCAGCCAGCTTGTTCCGTACGCACCTGCGGAGCCTCACGTCCCTGCTCCGGGTGATTGTTGGTGCCGTTCTGCGCCTCCTCACCCGCAGGTGCAGCGTTCCCGTCCGTGGCAGAGCACTAAGGCAGCTCCTGCAATCCAGGGGCTGGCTCAGTTTGGAGGAAACAAATGGGATGAACTGAAGCCTAAATGACGGTACAAGACAAATTTGGAATTCCACTGCAATTGCTACCTTGCTAATCAGAAGTCATCCCCAGCTTTCAACACTAATCTGGACACTTAAAAATGGAACCAAATTGATTTTGTACAAAATAGAAATGACATGTTTTCAAGTTCATTGGCCCACAGCTCTGTGAGTTTTATTTTTGGGCAACTGATTGAAATAACAGTCCATAAACAATGGAAAATAACATTTGCTCTGACTCAACAGACCTGCCACCATACAGTGACTTCCACTGTAGTAAGTCACAGCATTACTAATGACAGTAAGTAATACTAATGACAGAAAGTAATACTGATTACTACTGACAAAGATTACAGGCCAGGAGCAACATGCTCAAATTTAAGTCGTTCCTACTTTTTTAGCCACAGATTGTACTTCCAATTCACAGTGTAGGTTAGAGTGCTGCAGAAAAGTATCTTCAGTTTTAAATGATAATCTACTTTTGTAAATTTGACAGCTTCATCCCTTTCACTCAGCATGTTCTATTTATTCAAGCACAAGCAGACAGTGACTCTTTCAGGGGCCTGGAGTTTTGTTTTATACATAAAAAAGAGGTTCTTTCTTGAATATTTAGTCTTATGTTCTGAAAAGAACAGACCTTCATATTAATGCCCTGTAAATTATACACATAATAGAAAAGTAGAATCATGGAATGGTTTGGGTTGGAAGGGACCTTAAAATTCACCTTTTGCACTGTTATTTAAATATCAACTTAGATCTGCAACAAGGGGGACCTTAGACAGGAAATCCATACTCATCTATTAATGTGATGAAGAATGAAATTTGTTACACAGACTGAAAAATTACTGAGTGCTGTTCATCATTAAATGGGAGACAGACTCTTTATCAGGGCCTGCTGCAATAAGACAAGAAAGAATTTTTTACTATGAGAGTGGTGAAACACTGGAACAGGTTGTTGAGAGGGGTGGTAGATGCCTCAGCCCTGGAAGTGTTCAAGGTCAGACTGAATTGGGACTTTGAGCAATGTGGTCTAGTGAAAGTGTCCCTGCCCACTGCAGGGGGATTGGAAGCAGATGATCTGGAAGGTCCCTTCCAACCCACTCTATTCTATGAATATACATCATCAACAGATGGCTTTTAGACAACAAAAGCATCATCCACTTTTAACCATTTTAAATCAGAAAAGCCAACTATTCTATAATTAAAACAAAAACTTAAATGTTTGTTTTGGAAAAAACCCCTACCTAATAGTGACCTGTGTGATTGGGTTGATTTGGCTACTAATTTGTAGCCAAATACTAGGCAATGCAAAGACTGCACCTCATAACATTCATTCTTTCCTTTATCTGCTTACTAGTTTTATATGTAAGATTTCTAGCTGTTAATTTTCTCTCAGGTGAAAATAAATGCAAAACCACCATAAATAATGTAAAAACAATAAAAAAGCATGAACAGAACAATAAATGGTCATACAGAAGTTTTTAATGTTTGATTAAATCATCACAGTAATGAGAATTTTTACTGTAATGATATGCAGCTCTACCACACTATTATAAATAAAAACATTAAGATCAATATTAAATACAGCTCTAGGCAACATCACAGATTAACAAAGAATGCATTCTTCATGAACCAGTATCTGAATGGTTGAAAAAATAAAAAATGCTGACACTTTCCCCTTCCCATCCACCACATTTTTTTTCAAATTAGTAACTCGAGTAAGGCGCTGCAAGTTTTACATTAGGACATTTTTGTTTCACAGCACAGGCACACATACTTCCTTACCAGAACCTCTACTGTATGTTTACCAGAAGACATGTCAACAGGGAAAGCTTAGCAGGTTAAGAAGAGTAAACAGAGATGCACAATTTATATGCAGCACTCGGGATCTACACAAATTATAAAACACAGCAGGGGCGTGAACTGTATTTTAATTCAGATAGTACAGTCTGTAGAATTAGGTGCAAGTTAATACAGCACACACAGCAGTGTTTTAGGAGAGCATTAGACATGGCAAAAATTTCAAACTGATTTAAAGCAATTTTTGTATGTGTAGTGTGTTTATATTCTTCCATTGTAGGAAAAAAAAACAGACAACTTCCAGAGCTGTCTTCTGTAAATGGGCCAAATCCTGCTCTTTGTGAATTTTCTTCTTCTTCAGGCTTATGCAATGTAACAGCAAATTTTTAACCACCAGCACTCCACATGGAAGTCTACAGGTGGCTGCAACACTCCTGTTTTAACACAGCCCGATTCCCTGTTTCAGTTCCAAAGCCATTTTTATACAGAGCCTGATCACTGTGAGTGCACTGGCACATTTCACTTTCTACTGGTTCCAGTTGCTGCAAGAGATGAGATGAAGTGTCAGTGGCAGTTTTTAACTAAGAAAAATCGGTTAAAATTCAGCAGTGCACTTCCTTAAGTACAGGCATTATTTTGCAGCGTGCCAAAAGTACCAGAATTTTGGTTCAGTGTTATTGTACTTAAGATAAAATCATACTGAGTACTTGGTGAATAAAGATGGTTGAGGTAACTGTGATGAATGCCGTACTTGTTATTTTAATTTTAATGCCTATATTTTTGGAATTTTTGCAGTCTTGTGAGCATAATTGTTAAAAGAAAGAAATTTTATCCGACCCCATGTAACGAAACATGATTTTTGTCAGCCAGATTTCTTAATTTTTTCCTCCCTAGATTAGGCTTATAGCATATTGCTTTTTTTCCTCTGTGTACATTTGTGGTGGTGGCTTGATAAAATGAATATGAAACAAAATAATCTACTGTAAAGAAGTTAGGAATCTGTCAGTTCACCTACTAGTGTGTGTGTTGCTGCTGAATTTTAAAGTCCTGCCAAAGTTTCAAGTACTGCATTCAATTCTGCCCAGCTGCTCAGGTGTGGCTACATATAATTTACACCTCTATGTACTTGGGAGAAAAAAAAAAGAGCCAAAAGCAATCTATATAGTTGCTTTCTCCTAGTAATTTTAAAACCCTGCAGGTTGTTTTTAAATAAAATTTTAATATTACTGTTCCAGTTATCTGCTAGTAAAGGAACAAGGAAATCCAAGGTAACGGCAGTGAAAGTTATATTTGAAAATGATCTTGTATGTATGTTGGATCATAAAGAAGCCATTTTGTTGAAACCCTTCATCTAGTTGTAAACATTTGCTAATCCTCCATTACTTGCAGAGGATTATGAATTATTCTATAAAATCACATTAAAAAGGTAATTAGTTATGTGAGATATTAACTGATTCATATTTAATAGATTTTTTAATCCATACAAATATAAATAAAGAATGGTAAAACTTCAAGAAAAATAATATACATTTAGTGCAAGTTATGAGTTACATTTCTTCCTACCGTGTCAGCAGTGGAACATCTTTTGTGGAGAAGAAAAAAATAAAATGACCGCTCTCAAATTTTACAGGGGGGGAAAAAGATCTCCAGTGTTGTAGCATGCAATTTTTACCAGATACACGTATACAGAATTGTTCCAGCTCTTAAACTAGTAGTATAGCAGTATTTTTCCTTATACTGCACAACATTGGTATATATCATAGTGTTTTCAATAATACAAAAATTGCATAAGACCAGGTCACATTATTGATATTTTCTGCAGCAAAACCAGTATTTTTCTTTGAAATGCTAGTTTCATCTGGTTTTAGTTTTCTCATATCATGACAGCACATGGGTTGAAAGAAGCCTCACATGGTTCTTGCAAGGTATTACCTGTTCAATCTGGTTTTGTTGCAGTGGATCTGCACTGCCCCAAGCGTTTCATGATGTACAAACTCACATGTTTAATGGCACAAGAAAAACCTCCTTCTTGTGATCAAACCTCAGTAACTCACAGTACATCTCAATATGAGAAACAACTGCTTCAAAAGGGCACACCAATTTTAAAGAGGCTTTCTTACGGCTCAGGAGAGAGAGAAATAAAGCTCTTCTGGAATGTAGAAAGGTGACGTGTAATAGTTAATACGTTTCATGAGTTAACACAACAGTTTTCAATGGTAAAAAGGGAAAGACCTTTCAGTCTCCACAAGATGGCTCAATTCAGAACAATCCCTCCAGAAACAGGGATTAATAACACATCTCTTCTATGCTGAAGTACCAGGCTGGGGCTGGAGAATGGCACTGCACTATCATGGCAGACCTGATGCCTCGGGACGCATCCAGTGCAGGACAGCAGCTCTCCCTTCCCACACTCCCATCAGCTTTCCTCCTCTCCACATACTCCTCCAGACCGACTCCTGATTGCCAGCAGCACTGTCACACAAAACCCCAGCTCTTGTCTCTGATTTTAGAAGTACTCCCCAGACTAAAGTGTTGTGCTATTCAACAAATGAACCTCCTCTTCCGTTTCCTCTCTCTCCTCAGCTATGGGTTTCAGTTGAACATTATGGAGGCGGGGTCTTGGTTTGCCGTCTGGGCCATATGACGGAGGATATCTTTTTTTGTTATAATGCCAAGGAGGCGCCTGAAAAGGATAAATGGAAGACTGATATTAATCCAGGCAGAGAAATAATAAAGCAGAACAAATCTGTAGC